TGTGGAGCCCTCAGCTTTGTTTATTCTGTTGTCCCAGCCAGGTTTTTTCCTTTAATAAAGCTGTGGGTTCCTGCATTTTGTTTGCTGAGTCTGTCAATTAGTGAGTTCTTTTGTTTTATCTCTGAGTCTCTGTTATGTGGTGAATGTGCTGACTTTCCTAGTTAATTTCAACCTGTAGCTTTAACAAGGGGTATCTACATAAAACTAACCTTAAACTAACTTAGTCTACATATGCTTCTAATGCTTATTTGGTTTATACTAGCTTAATCTATATGTTAATTTTGGCTTAAAAACAGACAGGTGGGGGAGTCTTAAACTTCCTGGTCCTCATGTCAGTCTTAGGGAACCACATTCCTACAAGATCACTAGTTGGCTTTATTGCAATGGTTGGGGGTGATGTTTTACCCTTACAGGGTACCGTAATAACAGTAAAACTCACGGCAGAGAAATTGAACACCGGCCAGTTCAAGGACACAAGGGAGGGCTTGTAAACTGGGCCCTGCCTCAGTTTCTTCCCAGTCCAGGCCCTGCCTTAGAATGGGAGGCAGCATCCTTACCAGCTTGTGTTGCCTGCATGGCCCTGTCAATATGTGGTCTGCACACTAGGGAGGGCCAGTCAGTGTAGACAAAGAGCCGCTTACAGGGCTATTGGGCACCTGGGTGCACCTATCAGCGGTGTGGAGACCAGGTAGATACATACTGTACTTACGTCCATTCAGCAAGGGCTGATGATGAACTCATTTACACATAGAATGGGTATAAAATTGGGAAGAAATGTGTATAATTGGTATCTCTGATCATATGCCTTACTTCTATGTAATCTGTTTTCCATATTTTCTGCAGTAGATGTTGATTGAGCATGTGTTATTTGGGGTGTAGAGTAGTGCCTTTTTTTTCCTGCTTAGTGTTCAGAGACGTGATGAGGATTGTAACATTTGACTATGTGGACAAACCTAGGGATTTATTTAGCATTATCATGTTCCAGGGTGATGGCCACACCACAGCCCCTTTTCCTCCATCCTCCTGGGAGTTTTGGACACACATGCCTTGGGACCCAGCATAATTTTCTTTCTTTTTTTTTAAAAAAAGGTTTTTTTCAACTTTATTCATTTATTTTAATTTGACCAAAGAGGGACAGAGTAGGGTGGGGGGCATGAGAAAGTAAGCCGACAGGTCCAGGAGTCGAACCACAGTCTGCTATGTGGGAGTCTAGCGCCCTTAACCACCATGCCACCCGCCTGCCCCACCCAGCATGATTTTCAAGCTGCCATATCCAGGACTCGAACCATGGTCCCCAAGCTTGTATTGCTTTTATAATCAGAAAAAATGTTTTTTATGTCATATATCACAGTAGACTATTGGGTTTTCATAGCAAAAACATGTCATGACTTTTGCAACAACCTAATACATATATATATATATAATTTATTTATTTAATTCCATTTGTTGTCGTTGTTGTTATAATTATTACTTTTAATTTGACCAGAGTGAGAGAAAGGGAAAGCAAGAAAGCAAGCCACCAGGTCTAGGACTTGAGTCGCAGTCAACCATGTGGGAATCCACCGCCTTTAACCACCACTCACTTGCCAGCTCCCCCAGTATATTTTCTTGTTAATCAAATAATTTATCTTTTTAAATAATAATTTATTTATTTAACTTTATTTTTATTTTATTTTTTTTTAGAGAGATTTTTGCTGTAGGGCATGTACGATTGCCAGAGAGACAGAAAGTGAGAAATCACCCCCCTGGGGGGATGGCACACCACAATCCCTTCTCCATTTTCCCCTCAGGATTTGGGGCATGCACATGCGCCCGGCATGAGTTTCAAGCTGCCAGGTCTAGGACTGAAACTATGGTTGGCCATGTGGGAGTCCAGCAATGTAACCATTATGACATCTGCTTGTCTCTTATTATTCTTTTTAATTTGACCAGCGAGAGGAAAAGAGAAAGTGAGAAAGCAAGCTGCCAGGTCTGGAACTTAAACTGTGGTCGGTCATATGGTAGTTGAGCACCGCAACCACCATGCTACCTGCTGACCCCAAGTAATTGATCTTTAAAAAAGAAATTCAGGTTGATGAATTTTCTCATTGTGCTATAGGGCATATGTGCTTGCCAGAGAAACAGAGATTCTTCTTGGGACTTCGAGCATGCATGTATGCACACACGCCGAGTGTATTTTTCAAGACAGTGGGTTGGCACTTAAACCTCACAGTTCACCATGTGGGATCCAGCTACCTTAACCACCATGCTACCACTGGCCCAGGTTTATCATTTTTCCTCTTAGCCAGTTTCCTGAGTCTAGTCAAAGCCAGACCCTTCCCCTCTCTGCCAGCCCCCCAACTCATCCCTGCTCTGCTCTTGCCACAACGCTGCTGTGGCAAGAGCCTATCAAACCTTCAGACCCAGGACCCTTTTTAGCCACCTTCTTTTTCTCCTTTTCAACCCAATTTTCAGGCTGTTTAAAATAGCCAGCTTGTGAAATGGCTTTTGTGAGATTTCCTGTTGTTGTTTTTTTCTTCTCATAATTTCAAGAAAATTCTATTTTCTCAGGCCGGCTTCATGGCCTAATGGTTAGAATAGCTGGATCCCACAGTGGCTGACCATGTGGCTCAAATCTTAGACCCAGCGGCTTGAGAAATGTGATGGACATGTGTATGTGAGTGTCCCTAAAGGAGGCAGAGATGGAGGAGAAGGGATTGTGAATGACCTTTACGGTGCTTTCTCTTTTTGCTCTCTGTCTCTGGTGAGCACATAGGCTCTCTAACCAAATAAAAATCTATTTTCTTGTGCTTTCTTGGAGGGTCTGTTAAGAAATAAGAAAGAAAATAAAAGGAAAAATAAAAAGGCTATCTTCCTTTTCCTTTTTCTTCCTTTTCCATTCTAGGTTCTGGTCCAGCCTCAGATCATCAAGACAGATTCCCTTGTTTTGACCACACTGAAGACAGATGGCAGCCCTGTCATGGCTGCAGTCCAGAACCCAGCCCTCACCGCTCTCACTACCCCCATCCAGACAGCTGCCCTTCAAGTACCAGTAAGAACTGCATTCTTCCCTCCCCTTCTCCCTCCATCTTTTTTCTTAGAAGCTTAGGTCTTAGAGCTGTTAAAGTCTACACACTGAATGTAGAATGTGTCGGTCGAATTGTAAATGTCACCCCTCTTTTAGTTTTGTTTTCCCTTAAAGGAGTATTGCCAGTGTGGGTTAGTGAGAACACTGAGGTCTACAAGGGCGGGGGGCAGATGGGATAGCAGAGGAACCCCATTTCCTAGACAGCAACTCCACATGGGACCATTCACTTCTCAGATCTTGCTGGAGGCTGGACTCTGGAAGGACCCTACGGCGACCAGCCAGGGAGAGACTCCAAAGGCAGGGGTGTGAAAGCACCCCTCCTTCAGTCGTGTGGCCTCAGTCACTGTTGGCATTCTGTGGCAAGGCAGTGTGATAGGGTAAAAGGTGATGACAATCAGGAAACACTGGCTTTATTCATAGCAGCCAAGCGTTGGAAATAGCCCAGGGTCCATTCACAGGAGACTAGATAAACAAGTTATGATATAGTCATACAATGGAATTATGCCCAGCAATAAGGAAAATAACTACCAATACATAAAACAGCCTGGCTGAACCTCAAAATTATGTGGAGGCCCAGCCACACATACATTGTAGAAGCCATATAGAAGATTGGGGTTCAATTCCTAGGTCAACCTGTACATGCCAGGTGTAGACCCAGGATTATGCTGCTGAAAAGACTTGGGGGAGGATTGTAGCCTGCAACCCTGTTGAGGGTGCCTCTCTGTCTCCCTCTCCCTGCTTCCTCTTCGCTCCATCTCTTTTTATCATGAAATAAACTTAAAAAAAAAAAAAAGCATATTAAACAAAAGAATCATATCACAGAAGAGTTTTTGCTAATGGTTCCATTTATGTGAAACTCAAGAGTCAAAACCAAGTGACAGGGCAACCCATTTTCCAGGACCCCTCCCTTGGGTGCTCTCTTTTTCCTCCCCTCTCTTTTTCTAAAGATTTTTTTTTTGGAGAGGTTTTTGCTATAGGGCTCGTGGCCTCGCCAGACAGACAGAGAGAGACATAGAGACAGAAAGCGAGAAATCACCCCCCCCAGGGGGGATGGTCACGCCGCAATCCCTTCTCCTCCATTCTCCTCTTGGGATCTCGGGCACGCACGTACGTACATGCACCCGGCATGAGTTTTAAGCCACTGGGTCCGGGACGCGAACCACGGTCGACTACGTGGGAGTCCAGTTACATAGCCATTACGCTAACTGTTGGTTCCCCCTCCCCTCTCTTTTAATAAATTCCTCACTTCGCTATACCTATTCCGTGTCCATGACTCTGATTCTTGCTGAGTGTGGGACAAGAACCCATGTACCCATCCAGCATGCACCCCTCTCCACCAGGAAGGCAATGCAAGCATAAGTCCCACCTACAAGTCTGGACAAAGCCCTTCTTAACCCAATTAAAAACCCCTTGTCACAGTTCTTCCTTGGCAACCCATTTTCCAGGACCCTTTCCTTCTTGGGAGCTCTCTTTTTCCTCTCCTCTCTTTTAATAAATTCTCCGCTTTGCTATACCTAAAAGTTCGTCACTTGTAAACCTAAGGGACAGAAGTCAGAGCAGCAGTTAAGGTTGGGGTGAGGACAAGTGTTAACTGGGTATGGACATGAAGGAGTGGATTCTAAGGGGATGGAAATGGCCTCTGTCTTGTTCTAGGTGGTTCACACATTGCATACATACATAAAACTTGTGAGGCTGTAAACTTGGGATTTGTGGGGTTTATTGTGTGTGAATTATTTCTTAATGACTAGGAACTTGAGCACCCTTAACCACTCCGCCACTTTTTATTTGTTTGTTGGCCAATTGCATATTGAAGCCATTTACCAAAGAAAATAAAAACTAAAATTAGTAAGTATAGAAACCAGAATAGGGGAAAGCAGAGATAAGAAATAAAGGGGGAAACCTCTGTGGTTGGCCTCTTTATTTACTAAAATGGCCCTGATGGAGACTGTCAGTTCTGCCCTTGAGCTTTTTGATGACCAAATTGTGTAAGGAACTGTAGTAATTTACTTGTCGTTTGAGAGGAACAAATGTGTCGTGTATCGGGAGAAAGTTTTCTCTCATGCCAACTCCTGTGACTACGTGCACAGCTTCAGTCAGGGGTGGCTAACAGTGTGACAGCAGAGTGGAAACTAGAGGACTTGTTTTGGGCACCCTTAACTCAGAGGTTAGATACATTTAGCCATATCAGTCCCCTTGTAGTGCAGTTGATCAGCACCAATTCTGGAAGGAGGGTAGGAACTGAGGTTCTGTGGCTCTTAGGGATTCTTGGGGCCTACCTTAACCTGGGGTGCATTTCAGACTGCCTGAGCCATTACCAGGTGACGCCACATGGTCAGGGCGAGCAGGTTTCTGTTGTGAGGTTGCTTGATTGACACTAACAGAGATGATTCTGCTTCTGTACCTGTCCTGTTCTAGACCCTGGTGGGCAGCAATGGGACCATTCTGACCACGATGCCTGTGATGATGGGGCAAGAAAAAGTGCCCATTAAGCAGGTACCTGGGGGAGTCAAGCAGCTCGAGCCCCCCAAAGAAGGAGAAAGACGGACAACTCACAATATCATAGAGAAGCGCTATCGCTCCTCTATTAATGACAAAATAATTGAGTTAAAGGACCTGGTCATGGGGACAGATGCCAAGGTGAGTGCTTCATGTCCCATTGTCTCTCCATCCACCTCTACCTGGCTTTGTCACAAGAGTTTAGGGAATACCAGGCCCAAGCTGAATTAGTGTGAGAATATATTAGAAGTGCTGAGGTGCTTTCTTTTTTCTTTCTTTCTTCCTTTTTTTTTTTAAGAGACATTTTTGCTATAAGGCATGTGTACTCTGCAGAGAGATAAAAAGTGAGAAGCATTCCCCCCCCAGGGAGGATGGCTACACTGCAATCCCTTCTCCATTCTGCTCAGGAACTTTGGGCATGCATGCACACACACACGCTAGCATGAGTTTCTTTCTTCTTTTTTTTTTTTAAGAATTATTTTATTTAAATTTATTTATTTATTTTAATTTAACCAGAGAGAGACAGAGCAAGAGTGAGGAAAAGTAAGAAAGCAAGCCACCAGGTCTAGGACTCGAACTGCAGTCGGCCATGTGGGAGTCCAGAGCCCTTAACTACCACACCACCTGCTGACCCCTAGAGGTGCTTTCTTACTGAAGCCCCTTCGTGTTTGTCAAGATTATAAAATATTAATAATATAAGGAGACTGTTGAGAGCTGGCAAGACAGCAGGCAGCAGTCCACCAGGACCTGCAACTCCTGTGACTGCTCTGTAGTCATCATGGTCCTTAGTGTCAGAGGCAGAGAGAGGCACCCGTACTCACTGGTGGCGTGTGTACTTCTGTCAGCTGAATGCATTGCTGGGATATTCTTAGCTGTATTTAGAGGTGGCTGGCAGTATTTTTACCTTTTAGGGTAGCGAAAGGAAATGGAGATCGGGGCCAGCCAGTGGCATGATGGCCGAGGTGGTTGGATCCCACATGGCCAACTGTGTGGTTTAAGTCCCGGACCTGGTGACTTGCAAAATACTCTGTACACATGTACCTGCATGCCCAGAATCCCAAAAGGACAAAGGAGGCTCCACGCATGCACATAAACACACACACATACTCAGCATGTTTCTCAAGCTGCTGGGTCCAGGACTGCAATCTTACAGTTGGCCATGTGGAATCCAGCTGCCTTAACCACCAGGCCACAAAGTAAGCCCTGGTTTTTCTGTTTTGTTTTATTTCTAGTTTGTTTTGATGCTAGGATTATTTTAAGAAGTAGGAATAATTTCTAATATTTATTTGAGTGTCACTAATATGCCAAGCCTGGGGCTGAGCTATTTACACATGATCTCATTTAGCCCTCACCACAAACCTGATTCCTACGCTCTTGTTATCTCCGTATTAAGGAGCAGGGAAATGAGGTTCAGAACTAACTAACAATACCCACCCCATAGCCATGCTCTCAGCTCTCAGGCTCTGATCTCCTCACTCTGCAGCCTGCACTGGTTTCACTGTGTTTTCACTCATCCTCCTTCCCAAGATGCACAAGTCTGGTGTTTTGAGGAAAGCCATCGATTACATCAAATACCTGCAGCAGGTCAATCATAAACTGCGTCAGGAGAACATGGTACTGAAGCTGGCAAATCAGAAAAACAGTAAGTGTGCTTGTTGAGTTATACCTTCTGGTTATCTGAGAAGTCCTGTGCTGGGCTTTAGGGAGGGCTCACAGTCGTGTACAAGGCCCAGGCTGACCCATCCTTAGCCTGGGTGAGTCTATAAAGACAGATTGTTTTATCAGGTGGGTTTTTTTGCAGAGCTCTTGAAGGGCATTGACCTCGGCAGTCTGGTGGACAATGAGGTGGACCTGAAGATCGATGACTTTAATCAGAATGTTCTTCTGATGTCCCCCCCGGCCTCCGACTCGGGTTCTCAGGCTGGCTTCTCTCCCTATTCCATTGACTCCGAGCCAGGAAGCCCTTTATTGGATGATGCAAAGGTACGAGTTTTGAAAAACCCTGATCTTGGAATCTTTCTCATTCCAACTAAGAAAATATGGGGATGAGGGGCACAGACAGCTGTTCAGAGGGCACAGTCTAGAAAGGAATAGGAGCTTAGTGACTTTAGCCATGTCCTGGGGGATGTAAATAGAAAACTGATTCCAGGGGAAGAAACTATCCCTCAGGTTTAGCTGGTCCTCGTTGAAAGGCCCCATCAGAGAGGAGTGAGTGCCAGCTTCTGAAAGGAACATGTAGCAGCTGGTAGGCAGGCTCTGGGAGCTGCTGGAGGCGCCTCATTACTTCTCTCTGCCTGTAATGGGCCTGGCAAGACCACTTTGTGAGGCTGATCCATTGGCTGCCTCTGGGTCCTCTTTCCGGATATGATTACAATTTGCTATCTAAGAGAGAACATTCCAACCAAGGACCTTCAATCGTCTGAGAAAGCCCTTGGCAATTGTAGTTTAATGGAATTAGTTAAAAGAAGCTCCGAATTTAGTGATCTTGGAATGATCTTCCTGGGAACCCTTGGAGATCACCGTATTCTGTACTGTATTTTGACAAGGGCACTTTCTGACTGAAGGCACAAAATTCCTTGTAGTGTTTTTGACTAAGGTTTTTATTGTATCATATACTGCATTTTACTAAGGAAGATCTATTTTCGAAGTATTTATAATGTGATTCTACTTAGTAACAGCAGGCCACATGACATATAAATTGAATTAACTAGGCTTCTGAGTCATCAGAAGAAATTTTCAAATGGTTTTTAAACACTGAAAAGGTGTGACATGGTATGTACACAATGGGGCTCAGGAGCTCCGACTCCAGTGTTCTTCCACCACTGCCCCCCACCAGCTTCTGCCTCGATTTCTCTCTCTAAAATGGGGAATAGGGACAATGGTAACGGTTTTGAACATGCAAACTTCTTTAGATAGCTCCATGCTAAAGTACAGTCTTTGACCAGATTTATTGGGATATAATTTAAGTGCAATAAAATAGGCCTCTTTTCAGTGTTTGCTACCAAGAGCATTACCATGTGTACACACCTGTGTAACTATCTCTGTCATCAAGATGCAGAGCCTTACCATCACCACGAAAACTCCATTGTTCACCTTTGCAGGTAGCTCACACTCCCCTCTTCAGCCTCACAGCAGTTGAGCCATTGGCTTCTGTCACTTTCTATTTGTGTCACCTGTTCTAGAATCATACAGAAACAGAATTGTACATTGTGTTCTGTTTTGTGGTAGAGCTCTCTTTTATAAGAAAATCCCTTCTACCTCTCTTGTTTGGAACATGTGCCTTTCTCTGACAACAAGAGGGTGCATGTTCCATATTTGAGCAGTTAGTTCCCTCCTGGCTTTATTCCTGTCTGACTTAATGGTCTTGAATTTAAATTTCACAATCTGTTTCCGAGATGGTAGATGGATATGGGTGTGTGTGTGTGTGTGTGTGTGTGTGGAGAGAGAGAGAGAAAGAAAAAGAATATAAGATACTGAAAAATGCCATACCATAGTCATTCCAACCTCGAGGCCTTGTTTTGAAGGTCAAAGATGAGCCGGACTCTCCTCCTGTAGCACTGGGCATGGTGGACCGCTCGCGAATTCTGCTGTGTGTCCTCACCTTCCTGTGCCTCTCCTTTAACCCCCTGACTTCTCTGCTGCAATGGGGAGGGACCCACGACTCTGACCAACACCCCTACTCAGGCTCAGGCCGCAGCGTCCTGTCACTTGAGTCAGGTAGGTACAGGACCCCTTGTGCCATGTTGGGAGCATGGCAGAAGAAGGTCACTATGTACAAATCACTTGGTTTGTCTGCCAGATCCCAAAGGCCTTTTTATTGGGCCCTGCCTGCTGGTTTCTGATAGGGACTGTCTTGAGTTGCATTTTGGAAGTAACAAGACAAACTCAAGTTCAGTAAGAAAGAGCAAAACCCCAGAACCTGCACTGCTTTAATTACACTGAGAGGGGAAGTGAGGGAGGAGGGGTGCTACCTCTTGAAGGAGGATGTGGTGTTTTTTACCTGAGTTGAGAAATCAATGTCCTAACCTTCTTGGGCTAACAAAGATTTGTGTGTCATATGAGCGTCATAGTGCTAAGGGCTACAGGATTCCCGTTGAGGCTGTCGAGTTGCCCACCTTCTCTGAAGGTGAAATGGCAGGCTCTTTTGTGTGACAGCACTGGCTGCTCCACCAAGCCCTTCCTGGCACCAGGCCTCAGCTGAGACATTCATTCCTCTGTAGGTTCTGGAGGCTGGTTTGACTGGATGATGCCAACGCTCCTCTTATGGCTGGTAAACGGTATGATTGTCCTGAGTGTCTTTGTGAAGCTGCTGGTCCATGGGGAGCCTGTGATCCGGCCACACTCACGCTCCTCTGTCACCTTCTGGAGGCATCGGAAACAGGCAGACTTGGACCTGGCCAGGGTGAGTCCTGTGTTCACCTCTCCCCATCCTCCCCAGGCCTGGCTGGTAACTGCAGCTTGTGCCAAATCCCCACTGTAGATAAGGTCTTATGGTGGGTACTTACAGTGACTGAGAGGAGGAGAGGACCCTACTCCTGACCAGTCTCTCAGGGCACTTACCACACGTAGTTCCGTGGACACGAGGTGATCTAACCTCTGTGGTATGACGAGAAGAGTAAAGTGCATAGGAGTTTGGGGTAGAAGAAATGAGTGCTGCTGAGGGGAACCAAGGTTTGAGCAGGCAGCCAAGGACAGGAAAGAAGGCTGGGTGTGACAGGAGGACCTTCCAAGCTGGCAGAATGTCATGAATAGATAAGCTGTGTGGGGTCTGGCAAGTCTGAGACATATCTGGCATGTAGGATATATCAGAGAGGGACAGGAGTGAGGGCAGGTAGTGTGTCTAGACACAAAGTGCACAAGGCTGTGATTGGTAATGGACTTGGGGCTTTATTCTCAATATTCTGGAGAACCAGGGAAGTACAAAGGGAAGCTTCTGGGAAGGATTCTGGGGCAACTCACAGCACTGAAGGAAGAGTTCAGCATCCCTATCTCAGGAAGAAGTACCAGAGCACTCCTCAGCTGCAGTAAACCGTGAGCCTCCTCCCTTCCTCTGCAAGTTACAGTGCCATCAACAGAGAATCCTATGAGCCAGACTGGATGTCAGCCCTCGCTAGGGCTGTGGGCCCAAGAATATAGATGTAATCTTGGGCCTGTTCCTAGAAAAGAGCATCCCAAGGTGTATGTCCTAGAGGCAGGTTCGCAGGTGTGTGTTCCATGAATGCCATCCTGGTGACTGTATTAAGGACGGGCTGGAAATGGAAGACATGAAATGCACAAAAACAAGTTAGGGGGCTTTAAATGGGCCAGGCAAGATGATGGCAAGGACCTAGAATTGAAAGGTATAAACTAAAGGAATATTTGAGATATAAAATAGAAGGAAAGTGACAATGACAATGACTCAAAGATGGGAGAGGCTAGAAGGTGTAGTGGGCTCTGTCTAGGCCATGTTGCTTGGAAATACTGACAGAGGCCCCTACAGAGTGAGCAGGACCAGGAGGCAGCCACGGGGGCTGGAAAGGGTCGAGACCAGTGTTGGGTCCATTGGGAGAGGATGCTTGGGGAGGATTGGGTTGGTGAATGAGAAAGGCCAAGGGCTAAAGACACCGTTGGGAACAGCCAACACTTGAGGAAAGGAAGGCAGGAGCTGGGGAGGCTGCCTCTTCCGGAGTCTGTAAATGCTGGTGCTTCATCTGGCTGAAAGGATGTCGATGCTGCCTTAGAGATCATCAGAGAGCATTGTCACCCACTTCCCCCTTGACTACTCCTATTATAATATGGAAAGCAAAACACAGGTATGTATGACGGGGAAAGGAAAGAATTTAATTAGAATTAAAAGAATTTAATTAGACCGACCGACACTGCATTAGTCCCTCTCATGTTGGCAAAAATTGCTTATCTAGATCCTAGGTTAAGGTCATTTAGGTGTGAATTTGCCTAAAACTGTGGTTCTCAAACTTTAGAATCACCTGGTGGACCCAGCCCCAAATGTTCGGATTCAGTAGGTCTAGAGTGGGGTCTGAGTGTTTGCATTTTGAAAAAACTCCCAGGGACAGATGCTACTGGCCTTTAGGGACCACACTTTGAGAAGCTAAGAGCCTAATGGATCATGCAGTTATTTAAGTCCCTTACCTCTTTGGTATAGAAGCTACTGTGAGGAACTCTGAACAGCATTTGCTCAAACATTGAACACTGTGCAATCCTAATTTATTAGGTTGTCAGGAAAATCATTTTTATGTAGAAAAAATACATCGTGACTTTTCTGACAATCCAGCAGTATAAAGGCTGAGGGAAAGAACCTCAAAATGCCTGTGGTGATTCTGAAGTATAAGGTTACAGGTGGTTTCTTTTGCTTTTATTTTAACTTTCTGAAGTTTCCCAGGTATCCTTTAATGGGCATATTTGATAATGGGGTACAGGAGAGTAGAAGTCTATTAAGGGACCAGCAGTTAGCATAATGGTTATGTTGCTAGACTACCATATAGTTAACTGCGGTTCAAGTCCCGGACCCGATGGCTTAAACTCATACTGGGTGTGTGTGTGTGCATGCCCAAGATCCCGAGAGGAGAATGGAGGAGAAGGGATTGTGATGTGGCCATCAACCATGAGGGGTGATTTCTCGCTTTCTGTCTCTCTGGCAAGTGCACGTGCCCTATAACAAAACCTCTAAAAAAAAAAAAAAAAAAACAGAACAAAAGGCCCACAGCAAGGCCAAAGACCATACACCCTCTCACTGCTTTCTAGGGAGATTTCGCAGCTGCTGCCACCAACCTCCAAACCTGCCTGTCAGTTTTGGGCCGGGCACTGCCTACTTCCCGCCTGGACCTGGCCTGCAGCCTCTCCTGGAACGTGATCCGCTACAGCCTGCAGAAGTTGCGCCTGGTACGCTGGCTGCTGAAGAAAGTCTTCCAGCGCCATCGGTCCACCCCAGCCACTGCAGCGGGCTTTGAAGACGAAGCTAAGACCAGTGCCCGGGATGCAGCCCTGGCCTATCACAGACTGCACCAACTGCACCTCACAGGTGAGGCACAGCTGTGCACCCAGTGCCATCTGTCCTCCTCAGCTTCATTTCCTAATTCCCCATCCCAGGTGAAGCCTCTTACATTGCTCTTTGGAGGGGTGAAAGCAGCCTTCCACCTGCACCCAAAACTTTAAAGATGGCAGCATTTTGCTGCAGGTCACCAATCCTAAGACGCATGTTTTTTTTTGTTTTTTTTTTTTTTTTTTTTTTTTAGCCCTGATGATGTTTCTGTGGTGAGGGGAAGGCCCCCATAGAAAGAGCAGTATGAAGAGAAAGCAGATAAGTGGTTGTCTGATCTGACAAAAAGCAGGTCTGACTTCCTGATATAAGGAAGGAGTGATTGGCTTCAAGTGCAGAGGTGGGCAGGGTTGCCTGAAGATGAGTAGGGCTTTCTCTTGCAGCAGGGAACTGCTGTGAAACCAGGGATGGGGTTAGAGTTGGAAGGGAGGGTACTTGAGGGAGTTCATGTCTGGTGGTCTCAAATTTTTTTTGGAGAGGTTTTTGCTATATGACGTGTGTGCTCACCAGGAAGACAGAGACATAGAGAGACAGAAAGTGAGAAATAACCCCCCAGGGGAGCTGGCCACACCACAATCCCTTCTTTTTTATTTTTTGGAGAGATTTTCACTGTAGGGCGCGTGCGCTCGCCAGACAGACAGAGAGAGACATAGAGACAGAAAGCGAGAAATCACCCCCCAGGGGGGATGGTCACGCCGCAATCCCTTCTCCTCCATTCTCCTCTCGGGATCTTGGGCACGCACGCACACGCGCCCGGAGTGAGTTTTAAGCCACCGGGTCCAGGACACGAACCATGGTCGACTACGTGGGAGTCCAGCGACATAGCCATTACGCTAACTGCTGGTTCCCTGACGCATGTCTTTTTGTAGTAACATCTCTACATTGAAAATGTGATCTGGAAACAATTGCATGCCTTGGATTTATTGGCAGTGTTTTCCCCTTATCGATACTTAAATTAATGGTGAGACTTAAAGTCAATGGCACCTTGGATTCCATGAAATATGATAATTTATTCAATCATTAGGCCCCTGCTTTAATAGAAAAGCAGGAAGGTCTAGAAATGAGTGGCTGTTTGGTGTGAGCCTGTTAGATTCAGCAGGGGCATATTCGCATTAGGAGGGTGGGTTTCTCATGGGGTCGTGTTCCAGGAATGGCAATGTTTTGGCTTTTCCTGGAAGGCTGCATAGATGTCACCAGCCGTCCAGGAAATGTGCCTTTAAGGCAGAGGGATGACACGAGATGCCTACCTGCAGTGGCTCTTAAAAACAACGCTTCAGGGACCTGCAGTTGGCGTAATGATTATGTCACTGGACTCCCACGTAGTCGACCGCGGTTCAAGTCTTGTACCCGCTGGCTTAAGTTCACACTGGGCGCATGTGCGTGCATGCCCAATATCCCGAGAGGAGAATGGAGGAGAAGGGATTGTGGCGTGTCCATCCCCCCTGGGGGTGATTTCTCGCTTTCTGTCTCTCTGTCTTTCTGGCGAGCGCACACACCCTATTGCAAAAACCTCTCAAAAAGAAAGAAAGAAAGAAAACAACGCTTTAGTGATCCTAGAGTGAGCTGTGCAGAGACAAGATGTGGGAACCAGGGCAGGAAAGTGCGGGGCAAGGCCTGGGTGTAGTATATCAGCTGGATCCAGTGAAGGGTATAAGGAAAATAATAATGTGATCTGATTTGTGCTTCTAAAGTTTAGAAGAATCACTCTGATAGCAGGTAGAGAGTAGCTCTGAGACAATTAAGATTAGATAGGGGGACGAGCAGATAGTGTAATGGTTATATCACTGGACTCTCATGTAGTTGACCTCAGTTTGAGTCCCGGACCTAGCACCTTAAAACTCACATCAGGTGTATACGCACGCATGCCCAAAATCCCAAGAGGAGAATGGAGGGGAAGGGATTGCAACATGGCCATCCCCCACCCCACCTCCCAGGAGTGGAGGGTGATTTCTTGCTTTCTTTCTCTCTGTCTCTGGTGAATGCATGTGCACTATAGCAAAAATCTCTCAAAAAAAAAAATTAGATAAGAGCTGATACAGATTGAAGGTGAGAAGGTGAGAGGTGCTGGAAGGACAGGAGAGAAAACTAGAAGGTAGAATTGACTGAGCTTCGGGACTTACGTATGTGATGAGTGAGCCAGCTAAAGTGGCTCCCTGCTTTCTTGCTTGGGAGTTTAGATAAACAGTGGTGCCACCAACAAAGGTGACTAGAACAAGGAGAGCAGTTTTCCAGGGAACAGGCAATTTGGATAGTGCCCATGAGACATGGAGGGGAGTGTTCAGCTGGACCTGCAGGAAAGAGCCAGGCTCTTCCACCCGAGGGTTAGAATGAAAAATGAAGGAAGATGATGAGTGAGGGCAGATGGTGCAGAGGGAACCCTTGAGTCATTGGAAGAGCCATGTGCGTGTAAGGGAGAGGCAGAGGACCAGGAGTCAGGGGTAGGGGCTACCTGAGAGAGATGGTCAAGGAAGACAAAGGAGTGTTGAGAGTCATAGTGCTAAAGGAACAAGGGCAGAGTGGGCCCAGTGAAAGTTGCTTCCAGGTTGCCCAAGGGAGCCAGAAAGTATGAGTGGGGTGTAATAGGAAGGTGTTGGAAATGCTGTGTGGCTGCGAAGACTTGCAGGCAGAAGTGAAACAGAACCAGGGATGGAGGAGAGACCAGGAGATCAGGCATTGGGCCAAATGTATGGTTCTTAACCTCTGAGCTCATGGATGACATTTTTGTTTGTTTGTTTCATCTTGCCAAAGGAGTACATGTTATGGCTACAAAGATGGAAAGAGGGGTTTTTTTTTAAGAGAGGGGGCCAGCAGAAGGCATAGTGGTCAAGGCACTGGACTCCCTCATGGTTGACTGTGGTTCAAGTCCCAGACCCAGCAGCTTGACACTCATGCTGGGCACATGTGCATGCATGCATGCATGCATGCCCAAAATCTTGAGAGGCGAATCGAGGAGAAGGGATTGCAGCGTGGCATTCCCCCGAGGGGTGATTTCTTGTTTTCTGTCTCTCTGTCTCTCTGTCTCTCTGGCCAGTGCACACACACTATAGCAATAAAAATCTCTCAGAGAAAAATAAAAGAGGGAGAAAACATCTTACAGTGGGTCAAGTTTATACCATAATCCCTTCTCCATTTCTTCATCCTGTCAGGATTTGGGGCACACATGTGCCTGGTATGCTTTTCAAGCCTCGAGGATTTGAACTGTGGTCAACCATGTTGTGACTTCACTTAACCACTAGGACGTGCTTCATGGATGAGTGAACAGGAGGACCCTATCTGGAAATCTCTGCCCCTCAATGTGCCCTTGGAGCAGAACAAGCCCCAGGTCCCTGATGGGAGGCTCCATCCTCCTAGCTATCAAGTTCTGGAGAATTCCAGCTAGGGAGCTTGACATCACTCATTTGCTACCTTCATTGAGCACTCTCTGGGCCAGGGCCCGTGCAAGGCACTGAGGGGACAGAGGTGACTGCAACATGGTTCCCACACTGCCCTTGGCCCTCTCTCTCCCTGAGGAGAAAGCTCAGTGTTTGTTGAGGGAGACAGACACCTCAGGCCAGTTCAGTTGACATAGTGGGCGAGGTCTTCCTATGCTGAAAGATCAGGGAAGCAGGGCATCCTGGTGAGAAAAACGCAGGTCTGGGTGAGGTCAGGGGCCTGCCTTTGCTGCCCTGCCCACCTTGGTATGGGCGCTTTCTGGGGCCACCCCTGAGACAAGCAGAGTGCTCACCCTTGCTGCCTCCCAGTTCCTGTAGTGAGGACCCAAGGAAGCAGCAATTGAAAGCCTCGGGAGAGCCGTGATGGGCCCTTGGGCCTGTGCAGGGCACGTTGTCCCAGAACTGCTTTGTGGTTCTCAAGGGAAGTAGAGTAGGCTTTTCCTAGTCCTCCGCTGCCTCACCCAGCTGAGTCCAGCCAGCATTGCTCTTTACGTTACTACTCCCCTCAACAAGTATGTGTGCTTACATCTTAACGGGGTTTTTAATGAGAGTACATTCAAGTCAGTTTTTGTGTTTTTTTTTTTAATTTATTTCTTTTTTTACTTTTTTCGTTGTTGAAATATGTGGACACAGGACTGTATTGGCAGAATGTGATCCTGCTATTGCCATTGCTTTGGATAATGTAGCACTGTGCACTCCAAGTCCCACACGGTGACGACCTTCGGGCATGACAGCTCCCCTTATGCAGAGCTGGGTCCATGTCCCCACTACCCCTTGAGGTAGACAGGAGCACATAGAGCTCACCTAGATTCTCCCTTTTCTCTCTTCCCCTATAACTTGGTGCCAGAGAAACCCGGAAAAGATTTGGTTTGGGGGGATCTGTCAACATTGGGTTCCTTTCTACCCACCCTAGGGAAGCTTCCCGCAGGATCTGCCTGTTCAGATGTACACATGGCTTTGTGTGCTGTGAACCTGGCTGAATGTGCAGAGGAGAAGATCCCGCCAAGCACGCTGGTTGAGATCCACCTGACTGCTGCCATGGGGCTCAAGACCCGGTGTGGAGGCAAGCTGGGCTTCCTAGCCGTGAGTACCCCCAGTTCCTCCCCAGCCAGGAGCCAAAATACCACCTCAGGGGTGGGCCCTGCCTTCAGATGCCTAACACCTCAGTGGTGGGCATTCATTCATTTGCTTATTCCACAAATACTTATAGCAGCGATATTTTGGTACCCTGAGGTAAGAACATTGGTTGAGACAGAGCTTCTATACTTGGGTGTTAATATGCAACTGTTTGGGGGCCAGCAGGTGGTGTGGTAGTTAAGAGCGCTGGAATCCCGCATGGCTGATCATGGTTTGAGTCCCGGACCTGGCAGCTTGCTTTCTCGCTCTTTCTTTCTCTCTTTTACTCTGTCCCTCTATGGTCAAATTAAAATAAATTAATAAAGTTAAATAAAATAATTTTTTATAAAAACATATGCAACTGTTCTGCTTTTCAAGTGGTCATGAAGATATATAAGAATCTTATGGTTACATCTCCTGATTCTTTTATTCACCCAAAAGGAATTTACCGGAAACATTGTGTTGATCACAGCACCGTGAATCCAGAAATGAAAACCAGTGTCTGTTTCCCAATAGCTCAAGTCAGACCCAGAGTGCCAGCTACAGTTACCAAGCTTCCAGTGTGTGCCTGGCTAGGAGCCAGCCTTGGGAATTCACAGCTGGGTAATTCCCAGTCCTTGTTATCAGCTAGTTCACAGCATCTGCTGACCTCAGGCTTTCTCTTACTCTAGCAGAAACAGGCATGTTTCACTCAGTGCCCCACTTTGGGCAGACTGCAGAATGTGTCAGCTATGTTCAAAATGGAATGGTTACATCTCTGTTTGTTTCTGTGTCTTGGTAATGGCAGTGATGAACTGAAAATGAGTAGGAATGTGTCCTGTGTGACACTGATGTTTCCTGAGGTGTGTCATGAATAGTCTAGATGATAAAGGACACAGGGGAAGCCCCATGTACTTTCCATGTTTTGACCCTGTTTCTATGAGCACAGATGAGACACACATCCTTTGATTCATTCATTCAGCAAATGTAACTAAGCACCTGCTCAGTCCAGGCTCTGGTGGAATGGACATGCTGTGGTGTACAGTATTGCAGAGCATCTGGACAGGGACCATCCTAAAGGACAGTGCCAGGGCGTGTGCTAGGATGGCTAAGCTCCTGATCCAGTCTGAGGGGAAGTCCGGGTTGGCTTTCTCAGAAAGGTGAATCTTGCTGAGAGCAGGAAGCATGCGCCTCTGCTTTGTCTTGATGCTCTGTGTCGATGTCATCATGCTTATAATTTCTGTGCCCCCAAAAAGTGTTTTGAGGGGAGCCAGTAGGTGATGTGGTGGTTGAGGCTCTGGACTCCCACATGGCCCACCACAGTTCTAGTCCCAGACCTGGTGGCTTGCTTTCTCACTTTCTCTCTCTCTCGTCAAATTAAAAATAATAATTATAAAATTAAGTAAATAATTTAAAAAATTTATTTTATCAAAAATATAGCATATATCTAGGAAATTGCCCACATTATAACTTATAACTTGGTGAATTTTCACAAAGAGAACACTCTCAGTTTCCTCAGAAGCCTTCTTCTGGGCCTTTTCTCTCTCCCTGCTCCTTCCTACCAAGGTATCTCCTATTCTGAATTCTGTTGCCATAGTTTGATCTGCCTGTTTGTTGTTTCTGCAAACTTTTTATTGAAGTATATAGTATACAGGTAGAAAAGTACACAAGTCAGGACCAGCAGTTGGCATAATGGCTACGTCGCTGAACTCCCATGTAGTCGATTGCAGTTCAAGTCCTGGACCCGGTGGCTTAAATTCACTCCAGGCGCAGGTGCGTGCGTGCCCAAGATCTCAAGAGGAGGATGGAGGAGAAGGGATTTTGGCATGGCCATCCCTCCGGTGGGTGATTTTTCGCTTTCTGTCTCTCTGTTGCTGTCTTTCTGGCAAGCGCATGCACCCTATATCAAAACCCTCTCCAAAAAAAAAGAAAAGTATACAAGTCATAAATACATTGCTCAGTGATTTCATTGACTAAACATACCCATGTAAGCAGCAGACAGATCAACACATAGCCAAGACCTCAGAAGCCTCTCTTGGGCCCATGCAGTCATTACACTGCCCCTTCACCCAGCCCTCCAGACGTTCTGCCTGTTTTAAATGTTCTGTAAGGACAGTTGTGTGGTACATCTGTTTTGTGTCTGGCTTTTTTTGCTTGGCATCACATGTAAGGTTCATCTATGCTGTCATGTAGAGTTTTAGGGGTTGTTCATTCTCATTGCTTTACAGTATCCAGTTGTATGATGCTCTTATAGGTGAACTTCTGAGTTGCTTTCTGATTTGGATTATTAGGAACGTGCAGCTGTGAGTGTCTGTGCACACATTTCAGTGAGTACGTGACTGCATTTTAGAAATGGCATCACTGGGCAGAGGTTAGGCATATTGTCGAAGTGGTTGTGTCAATTTGCAATCCCCCAGAAGTGTTGAAGAGTTTTCCAGTTCTGTATCCCCATTGAACACATAATCATGTCCACTTTAGTTTGTATCTTGTAGTTTTGTTTGTTTGTTTGTTTGTTTTTAAGAGGTTTTTTGCTATAGGGTGCGTGTGCTCACCAGGCAGACAGAGAGAGACAGAGAGATAGTGAGAAATCACCCCCCAGGGGGAATGGCCACGCCACAATCTCTTCTCCATTCTGCTCTCGGGATCTTGGGCACATGCGCACACGCACCTGGCGTGAGTTTAAGCCACCGGGTCCGGGACTCGAACCACGGTCGACTATGTGGGAGTCCAGCGACATAGCCATTATGCTAACTGCTGGTCCTGTATTTTGTAGTTTTAATTTGCATTTCCTAGGAGAGTAATGATATTGGGAACCTTTTCATATATTTATTGGCAATTTAAATCTTCTCTTTTGAATAGTGAAAACACTATTCAAATCTTACCTATATTTTATTAAGAACAGCTCTTTTTTTACTGATTAGAGGAGTTCTTTATTCTGGATATGATCCTTTGTTGGATATATGCTATTTAGATATTTTCTTCCACTCTATGTCTTGTCTATTTCCCTCCCTTAGTAATGGTGTTTGTTAATACACACAAGTTTTTAACTTTAATAAAATTCAGATTAGTCTTTTCCTTTGTAGTTAGACATTTATGTCTTGTTTAATAAATCTTTGCCCTACTTCATAGTCCTGAAGATAATCTCTTATGTTGCCTGCTAGAAACTTTATTTTTTACCCTTCTCTCATAGGTCCCTGATCCACCTGAAATTGATTTTTCTGTGAGTTAAAGATAGGGGTGCAAGATCTATTTGTGTTCATACAGATACCTACCTGACCCACAGCTTATTAAGACACTGCCCTACCCCGACTGCACTGAGTAGCACCTTTTGTCATGAAGCATGTGTCCATGTGAGGTGGTTCTGTTCTGGACTCTGGCCTGTAGTATGGCACCACCAGCACCCAACCCTAACAACTAAGTTTCCTAATATAGATACCTTCATATCAAGGTGTCAGTCCTCCAGCTTTGATGACTATTTTTTTAAAGAGAGATTTTTGCTATAGATTTTGTATGTGCACTTAGGGAGACAGAGAGAAAGTAAGAAATCATACCACCCCCCCAGGGAGGATGGCCACACTGCAATCCCTCCTCTCCATCTCCTCTCGGGATTGCGGACACACACACACATGTGCCCGGTATGAGTTTCAAGCCGCCAGGTCCGGGATTGAATGTGGGAGTCGAGCACCTTAACCACTGTGCCACCTGCTGGAGTCTAATGATTACCTTTTGCCCTTTATCTTACCTTGTATATGTATATTTTAAAGACTGTGATGCCATTTTTTTCAATTTTGATTTGTTTATTGTTACTCTTCAACTTGACCAGAGAAAGACAAAAAGAGAGCGAAAGGGAGAATGAGAAAGCAAGCTGCCAGGTCCAGGAATCGAACCTCAGTCAGCCATGTGGGAATCCAGTGGTTTAACCACCGTGCCACCTCCTGGCCTCCTATATGTGTTTTAGGATTATCTTGTCATCTCAAAAGCCCCAATGGGGATTTAATTGTTTTTATTGCCGAGACACATCCACCCCCTTTTTTTTTTTAATTATTGTTTTTTGTTGGTTTGGTTTGGTTTTTGCCATGAGATGCATACTCTTGCCAGAGAGAGGGGGAGAGAGAAATCATCCTTCCAGGAGGAATGACCATGCTGCAATCCCCTCTCCATTCTCCTCTCAGGATTTTTGGCATATACACACGTGCTCCCAATGATTTTCAAGGTGTTGGGTTTGGGACTTGAACTATGGTCAGCCATGTGGTAGTCAAGCACCTTAACCACTACACCACCTACTGGCCCCATATTCACCTCTGAAAGGGTCTTAGAGAGCCCGTTTGAGGAATGCTAAGGATCAGGAAAATGGTTACCTGAAATTGTCCCTTCCCATGAATCCCACATGCCACACCTCAGGAAATATTTGATATGCTGAACAAGCAAGAAACAATTAAGTATGTATATTTCCTCAGAATTTTTTCCTGCCCATGTTAACATATATAAATTATAGTTTATTTGATGTTATTATACCATAAACCTGTTTGGCCACTTTCAAACTAATGGTAAATCTTGACCGTCTTTCTTTGTAGCCTCTGAGAGGCACTTGGTGCTGTTGATGGACATTTGGGCTGTTTCTAGCAGTTGCTGTTCAAACAGACCTGCAGGAAACACCCTTGTGCTGTTCTCACCCTCCCCAGAGTGTCCTTCCTCAGACTAAATCTCTAGAAATGGACATGCTGGGTTTGCAGATACAAGTATTTGAAACTTTTTTGTTTATTTTTGTTTTTAGGTTTTTGCCATAGGGCATGTGTGCTTACCAGAGAGAGAGAGAGAAACTGAGAAGGAAAATGAGGAATCACCCTGTAGGAAGGATGTCCATGCCACAGTCCATTCTCCCTCTGGGATTTTGGGCATGCGCACACACACGCCTACTGTGATTTTTCAAGCCACTAGATCTAGGACTCAAAACTGTCGTCAGCCATGTGGGAATCTAGTGCCTTAAC